AGAGTATTTTTATCTTTTAATAAAATTTCAACTTTACCCATCTGTTCCACTTTAATGTCCGTAAATGTCTTTTGAAAGACCTTTTACTCCATTTCTCTACCATGTACCTTTGATTCCTATGTAATTCTCAATTTCCATGTACTTGCAGTCTGTGATACCCCTTTGGAAAGAACTAGAGTACTTCAAGGAGTACAAAACAAGACTTAGGGCATATGCAGGCCCTCGCAAGGCGCACACGATCATACATGAAGCTGTTTACATCATAAGCATTGGAACGAACGATTTTCTCGAGAACTACTACCTCATTCCCCAGCGTTCATCGCGGTTCACTGTGAAAGAATACCAGGTCTTTTTAGCAAAATTAGCGGTGAATTTTGTGAAAGAATTGTACAGTTTAGGAGCTCGAAAGATCTCTTTCGGAGGTCTCCCTCCTATGGGGTGTTTGCCTCTTGAGCGCACCACGAATGCCATGTCAGGTAGTAGATGCGTTGAACAGTATAATCAGGTTGCTAGAGATTACAACACTATGTTAACAGGGGAGGTCGTGGCCCTCAATTGTCAGCTCCCAGGGATAAAGTTGGTCTTCTCTAATCCTTATGATGTCATGATGGACGTCATAGAGACACCCTCCAAGTACGGTAAGTTTGCTGCTTCACCTTTAGAAATGGCCCTCAGAGTTCTATGCCTTCATTCTGATTAATTTTTGTTTGTTTGTTTACTTCTTTGTGGATTTATTTGTTTTTTTATTCGATTAAATTCCTTTTTTTTTTGGGCAAGTTTTTTATGCATCCCCTACTGCATAAAATTTATATACTTCCCTCCATCCAACCGTCCGTTTTGAATGGATGGCTGAGATGACCCCAATTCTGCTTTATTTTGTTTTTCATTTTTTTCTCCAAATTATTTTGAGACCAAATTTTAAGTGCCCACTCTTCCCTTAAACTCACACTTGAAAAAATAAAACTAAAAAATATATTTTTGATAAATTAAAATGACTAAAATACCCCTAAAATTTGCAGGGGTATTTTGGCCATTATATGTTACAAAAAATATTTTGTTAACTTTTTTTTAAGGTGCGCCCCATTGAGATAATGACATGTAACATATTTTATATTCATATAATTTGTAAAAAAAATTAAAAATAAAACTATGAAGCGTTGGATATAGATCAAACGGTCGGAGGCTCATTAGATCTAAATTGAATGGCTAGATGATGGGGACGGGGAGTATATATCTTTTATGCACCAGGGAAAATATAAAACTTTAACAAAAAACAAATAAAAAACTTACGATGTGTCCATTTATTGTCCCTTCTTGAATTTCTTTACGACTTTTCTTTTTGGAAGGGATTACATGCTCCAGCAGGAGCAAATTGTAGAATTAAAAACCTGCACGGGGATTTTTTGTTCACAAGTTTTGGAGGTTCTCTACTCGTCATAGCGACCCATCTAGAAAACGAAAATTGAATTTACACTCTAAAATGACTTTATATATCTTGTCCAATCGGCGAACACAACTATTTTTTTTGGCGGTCGGTGATCAAGAAACCAAAATCATTATTTTAAAAAATTATCAAATAAATCCCTTTGGGCAACTATAAGTCCAACTATAATGATAGAATGTTAGGTGGTCAAAAAACAAAATATACATAGAATGAGTGTAGCAAAGATGAAAATGTTGAGATGAATGAGTAACAAGACAATGAAAAATAGAATTCAAATGATTACATTCGAGGGAACTTAGGGTTAGTTCCAAAAGGTGATAAAATAACAAAACATAGACTTAGGTGGTCTGCTCATTTGCAGCATCGACGTAAAACAACACCGGTTCGGAGGGGTAATTTATTTCAAGTGGAGGCTACAAAAGGGTAAGGAGAATGCCTGAAAGAGTGTATATAGATATAGTGAAAAAAGAAATGGTGACTTATGATCTGACTAAAGGTACGACTCTTAATGGAGTGAAATGATAGATAATTTATGAAATCAAGCCCAAATACTTGGGATAAAGTGATCAACAAATCCCTCTCAGTGTTTTGTACCTAGGAGAAGTAGTGCAAGTTCAACACCATCTAAAAATATTTTCAAAAGGGCAATTTAATATTTATAATTGCTAACACATAATTTCCTAAGGCAAGCCCTCAAAATAAATTGAGCAAGCATTCTACTCCTTTTTCAATATGCCAAAGTAGTCCTATTTATCAAATTTGATAATTACGTATTGAAATGCAATTCTTTTTTTCAAATGTGCTTTAAGTTTTGGTATTCTGAGAAAAGTTGGGGGTTGTTGCAGTACCATCGTACAAAAAATTCAAATGGGTTGGTAACATATGCTTTATTTTTGTGCGAGTTAAGGAATTAGATATTTTCAAAAAATGAGTTTTAAGTATATTAAGTTTTAAAAGTATTTTCATGATGTTTTGAGGTGCGGTTTAATTTGATTGTTTCCTTCAATCAAATTAAAGGAATAGGTTGAAGGCTTTTTCTTCATTTATTTCCTACCAAAGTTATAGGTTGAAGACTTTTTCTTCAATTATTTCCTACCAAAGTTATAGGTTGAAGGCTTTGCTTTATATGCAATAATATGCAGTTTTTTGCATCGTCACTTTTTCCTTTATTATTATAACCTTTGCAATTCTGCTTATCTTTAAGAAAATTAGTTTCATGGATGCATGGTTATTGGCAACATAAACAAATGTGAACACAAACATGGCTTAAAGAAAAGAGAACCTGTTTGTCTTCCTCCAAATGTTAAAACCACTCTTTTCTTCATGTGAAGGTTTCGACGATGTGTCGGTGGCTTGTTGTTCGATCGGGTTAATCGAGATCGGGTACACATGCAACAGGTGGAGTCCATTCACATGCCAAAATGCTGATAAATATGCGTTTTGGGATGCCTTCCATCCCACCGAGAAGCTGAACCGCATCATCACCGACTACGTGATGAAGAATTTCCTGTCTCGAATTGTATGATCATACCAAACATCAACCAGGAATGAATGCAAGGCCCACAACCACATAACGTTGTAGTTTGTGTTGGAGAGATCCAGGTTTTATAGGTGTGTTAACTGTGTATTTATGTTGCATTCTTAGGTGGTAGATGAGTGTGTTTGGCGTCCATGAAAATTTAAGTTAATTGCATCACGGTTTTGTACCTTTGTTAGTTGCACTCAATATAATGGTACGGACCTTGGGGAGGGGTTTCACATGTGCTAAACTTTTCCTTTGAAATTTTTGGTAGGATAATGGCTTTTATTTTTGGGTTATTGTAAAAATAGGAAAAGTCCTTCATGTGTCAACGGGTTCAAGAGCCCCGGACTCACCAACGTCCATCTTCACGTCATTCTTGAAGATGGATCTTGTAAAAAACTCAACAAGGTTTACACAATGTAGATTTTTATTTTTTTTAAAAAAACATTTTACATATCAAATTCTTTTTTTTTCATGTTCATCATCATCTTAACATAGATCATGAATCTCTAAAGTTTTAGATTACAAATCCATTTCTCTTTAAGAGGGAACCCGCATATGTATAGTATGAATTGGATGACTCATAAAAACCCCATTCTTAAAAATTTGGGTCAAAACTTGTACAATTTGGCCAGGGTTTTTACTGTAATTTGAAAATTAAAAGATGCCAGACTTGGTCAACAACCTACAAATTTTAGTTAAATTCTGACTAAAACTACATCTAGTTCCTCTTCACTTCTCATTTGTTTTTTTACTATTTTTCATTGTGCATGGAACGAGAACAATTAATCTAGGGAATAGTTGGAGTTTTTATCAACAAAAATATAAAATTGTAATAAATAAATGTTTTTTAGAAGTTCAAAAGGTCTTTAGAGAAAAATAAATATTTTGTTAGAAATTGAAATAGGGAGAAGCCACAATAAATAAATTTAAACCAAAAAAAAGGGGAGGAAGTGATATTAGCAAATTTGTAAGATTTAGGGGTCATTTATTTTAGGGAGCTTTCTATGTGGCCCCCCACCTACATATATAATATATGTGACCCCTAATCTCAACTGTCAGATTTGAGTAGATGGCTGAGATGACTTGAGTCATAATGTTATAAGTTAGCTTTTAATCGTCTGATCTTGATTAGACGGCTCATAGTTTTTTGTTTTTTATTTTTATTCTAAAATTAATTCTAAATCAAAACTTGGGGCATGCATAGATCTATTAGGGGCTCACATGATAAAAATAACAGTAAAATAATTCTCATGATGAAAAATTACCAGGATACCCCTACAAGTTACAGGGAATTTTGGTTATTTATTTTTATAGAAAATATTTGTTTTTTATTTTTCCCAAGTTCGCCCTATTTTTATGATGGGCCGCATATAATTTTATATAAAACTGTTTTGTAGAAAAAATAATAATTTCAAATAATTTCATATAAAACTGTTTCATATAAAACGCATATACACAGTGTTTGACGCAACATTTTGGTATGAACAATCATAGCCAGTAGATTCAGATTGAAAGGCAAAGAAGTTGGGTTACATACAACTTATATATTGTTGGGGTCATATAGAAACATTTCTCCATATGGATACCTCTTCTCTTAGTTGGGATGTCTTTTTTGGTGCTCATTTACGCCCTCATCTATTATCTCCATCTGTTATTGACTTTTGACCATAAAAATTAGCCCCAATAGATCTTTTTATACTATTTCAACCCAAAAATATTTTTAACCCTCTTTTCTTCTGTCCATCCATTAAAAAAGTTTTTGGGTTGAAATGGTATAAAAAGATTTATTGGAACCAATTTTTATGATCAAAAGTTAATAAAAGAATGAGATAAGATGTGATGGGTAGAGTGAAATATTTAGGGTTTTCTCTATGCGGCTTGAAAGAAAAACGGAACGAGAGTCTACCACGAAATAATATAAGAAATTAGAATTCTATACGAAATTTTTCCTTAGATTTAACCGGCCAGGATTGCAAAATCAGGGAACCATCTAGTTAGATCGCAACCGATCCTTGGCCGGTTATGATTTTGGCCGGTTTCGTTGATCTGGTTGGATATTTTAAAAAAAATTATATAAAATCCCAAAAATAAGGGGTTTGTTTGTAATGAGTTTGTGATTTTTTTTTGTCATTTTGGTTATAACTACTTATTTTTATATTTTTTCATTTAAAAAAATTTAAAAATACCCCTAAGCACAAATCGAATTTTTAAAAATTCATTTTATTCACTAATTTTCAATTTCAATTGAATGTGATGTATTTAATCATACTTTAAATATATTTTTCATATTTCTTTATATTGTTTTTATATTTTTTGACCGACCGGGACTTGTTTAGTTAGGCCGGTTGTACTGGCCACTCTACTGGCCCTTCCGATTTGATTTTCGAAACATTGTAGCAGCTCATGGTCCAGAATGTGTGTTTCCATGACTTCCAGTTCTACCAAGCACCAACCCACCCTCTTATCATGCCGCTCTCTTAACGCCGGTATGTTTTGTTCTTGGACTTGAAATCTGTCTCTGAGACAGGTTCTACGAGTCCACTCACATGTAGAAATACGGGTTTCTTAAAAATTTATTTTTGAAATAGAATTTGTTCCTAATTTTTAAGGAATATATAATCTGCAATATGAAGATTATTAATATGTAAAAATAAATAATTTTTTTAAAAAAAAATGATAATTTTTGAAAAAATTATTTGAATTATTGATTTTACTTATTCTTTGGAGAACTATTATTTATCAAACCTGGTTTTGGTGGACGGTGTAGATCTACAAGCCCGCATAATAACAGGTGCAGGCTTCGATGCACCAAACAACTTTCCATCTCTCTCTCTCCCCCTCTTCAATGTGTTCTCTTTTTGGTATATGTGGGGGATGCAGTTAGCATGCAGCCAAGCACATATATGAACAAATGCAGGCTTGGCAATAAATATATTTTTAAATATAATTTGATCTTAGTTTTTAGTGAATATATAATTTTTAACATGCAGATCATGAATATGAAAAATAAATAAATTTTAAAAAATAAAATTAATAATTATATTGAGAAAACATTTTGACCGTTAGTTATAATTGTTTGTAGATGGACCACCTATTTTCACCCATCTTTAAGATGGATGCTTTATACCTTTGGACCGCATATTGTACAAATGCGGTCTCGCCCCACATGAAACAATTGTTCATATGTGGGGGGCTGAAATGCTGATTCATTGAGTAAGCCGCAGCTACTATACGGTAGTTCTTTGACAAGGTACTTTTGAATATCTCTTTTCCTTGTTTCATCAAGGTACTTTTGAATATCTCTTTTCCTTGTTTCATCATACTTTGAATTTATGGAATAATAGCAATTAGTCATATTAGATGTAAATCATGAATATTTTCATGATATTTATGTCTTGTAAAAAAAAAGAAAAAAAGAGAGAGGAAGGATAAGTTAGTGGGGTTTTTTTGCGCTCCTACCATTGGGTGATAATGGAGTCAGAGACTTCATCATAGGGCTCGTTGGTACTACAGCCAAAGCCCCAACCCATTCTAAAAAAAGGTATAAAGTCAGTGGGGATTTGGATCCTTATCTTTTGGTGAGAATGGAGTCAAAGACATCATCATGGGGCTCGACAAAAAGTGGTAAGTCAATGGGGATTTGGGCTCCTACCCTTTGGTAAGAATGGCATCAGAGATCACACCATGGGGCTCAACAATACTACCTCTAAGACCCCATGCTATTCTCAAAAGTGGTAAGTCAATGGGGATTTGGATCCCTACTCTTTGGTGAGAATGGAGTCAAAGGCCTCACCATGGGGCTCAACAATACTTCCACCAAGACCCATGTCATTCTCGAATATTGGTAAGTCAGTGGGAATTTTGGCCCCTACCCTTTGGTGATATTTATTTCATGTAGTCAATTGTTATTTGGTTCCTCTCGATTTACTCATCCTTGGCAGGTGTGGGCTCTGTCGCATGAAAATATTTTTTTTTACAAATAACCAGCCCCCACAGAAATGCGGGCTTGGAGATAAATATATTTTTTAAAGGGGGTGGTTTGTATAGAGCCGAGTGTCCAAACAATCAAAATAGAGCCCACCTTCAAACAATGTCGAGAAATGTGGTTTCAATACTGGAAATCTTTGTACTAGTTTTTTTTTTAATTATAAAATTTAAAGCTTAAAAAATAGTGTAGATTGAGCAGATTTATAAAAACTTGAAAATCTTGAAATTGACGGTCAAAAAATGCATTACAAGATAAACTATTTCCAAAACTTGAAATCCTTTTTTTATTTTCATGTCCATGCACCTTGATGTCAAGATGATCAATTTGAAGATATTTGGGCATCAAAACAACCTCTTCTAGTGAAATTTTTTATGTGCGCTCTACTTTGACTGTTTAGAGCCTCGACTCTATATAAGCTTTTTCCTTTTTTTAAATATAATTTGACCTTAATTTTTAGAGAATATATAATCTTTAACATAGAGATTATGAATATGAAAAAAAAAGAAGAAAAAATTGAAATCTAAAAATAGTAATTATATTAATGAAACATTTGGACCATTAGTTACAATTGTTTTTAGATGGACCACATATTTGCATCCATCTTTAAGATTAGGGGTGGCAACAGGTCGGGTATGGGTGGGTCCGGCTGGACCTAGACCCAGACCAGAATACATTAGGGTCCAGGTTTTAGACCCGGACCCGAACCCAGACCTATACCTGTACCCATTGGGTCTCCGGTCTGGTCGAGTCCATTGCCACCCTTACTATGAGCTTCCTTTTTTTTTTTGCCTTTTCTTTACCATCAAATACCCAAATTATTGGCAAAAGCTCACAATCATCTGCCATTAGATTTCAAGCCGTCTTATTTGTAGTTTAATAACTAAGATGATTATGAGTTTTTATTGTATAAAATCTTTAATACACCCAAACGAATAGGGCTTGAAGTATTAACAATTTCCTGGTACGGGTTGGGTCCAATTGAACCTGAACCCATACCCGAATAATGCTCAAGTCCAGGTTTGGATTTGGAACTGATATGTTGGCTCCAAATGTTGGACCCATACCTGAACCGGATTAGGTATACTCGGTGCGTCCTGAGTTGGATACGAGTGCATTGCCACCCCTATTTAAGATGGATGCTTTATACCTCTAGACCTCATATTGTAGAAAATGTGGTCCATCTCGCATGGACCAATTTTTTGTGAATTAAAACCTAAACTTGCATGGTCCACGTATCAAACGGACCATCTAGTTAT